GTATTGCAATCTTGCAATCCAGCCATATTTTATGAAATAAGAGTAAAAAGGTTAGTTCATGTGTAAGGTGACACCCGAAAATGTGTTACTGTAAAAGCAAAGTCATATTGACCAGATTAGAATTGTTCTTGGTCTGTTGTTCTCTTATAGTATGGAGGCACTTTGATCTAAATGAAAAAGTTAACACACACCTAATCACAGTTTTGACAGAATTTTCACTTTGACTTCTGAAGTAACTGTATTTTGAACTAACTAAATCTGTTAAAATGTAAATCTCTAAATCCCCAGCTGGGACAAATAGTATAGTTATGAACTAATGGGATTTTGAACTATCTGAGTTTGAATTACTGTAATGAGAATTTCCTGTGTATCTATCTATGTTTATTATGTACTTGGTTCTTCCAGATTTTAATAATTAACAATCATTCTTATATCTTTGTTGATATCATTGAAGATAGACCAAAGGTGTTTTTCAATATTGTGAATAGTAGTTTTTTAGATTTCTTTTAAAGAATTTTACTGTAGAACTGTACAGAATTTACATTTTAACTTTTAGTAAATATTAAGAATCAATCATTTTCAATTGAAATTTGCTAACTTTTAAAGAGAGTGATAATTTCAGAGTATTATTAGAAGAATGATATCTTGTAAAATCATAATACAAGATGCAACCCAAAAGAAATTCAGACTGAATTTGGAAATAAAAATGTCAGCATTGAATTTATTTCACCTCTATGGTTTAAAACAGTGGTTCTTAACGTTTTTATACTTGCGACCCACCAAATATTTCATAATTTTTTTGTGACCCCCATTTTTTAATAATAATTTATATTTGTTAAATTATCTGTAATAAATTGATTTTTTTATTATTGCTTTATTTTTTTATATAATAAATGTAAAACATAACTTTATTATTTTATTATCTATTTAAATAACATTCAAACTCCACAATTAAACATAAAAGCTCATTAATTTTTAACAAAAAATAAAATAAGAAACATTTAAAAATTCATAGAAAAATAACTTAATCAACACCTGATCACTCGCTGAGAGATTTATTAATAAAACAAACGTTTTCAATCCAATTAATGGATCATCCTCAGGTTATATGAAACATTATGGATGGAATATTATGGACAGGGACGCAGAAATAGAAAGAATCATGCAGGTAGCAGAAGCATTGGGCTACAAGAGGAATGTTATAAAGGGGATTATCAATAAATTAGAAATTGGTACATATATAGTATCTGTTCGAGGTCCATCTACATACATGAAATTTACGTACAACAAGTGCTTAGGAAGCATTATGAAATAAACTGCAAATATAAAAGATACAAGGATGGTCTTAAAAAGAGCTCTGAATTTGTACAGAATACTTAGAAACGATAAAGGGGCGGTTAAAAAAGAAGATATGTTGGGTGTATATAAGATCCCATATGAGAATCAGATATTAGGAATAAATAAGGAATATGTTGGGGTTACTACTAGAAACCTAGGTGTAAGGATGAAAGAGCACAGATATGATATTAGAAAAGGTTGTAATGCCACAGTATTGGCTCAAATGGCAAAAACGGAAGGTTCAATAGTACAATGGAATGAAGCAGAAATCCTGAAACAGATACACTCTCTGACTTTGGCAAGAACGGCTGAAAAGTTAGAAATTTATAGAAGCAAACTTAAAGGAAATTACATCAACGCAAGAGATGCAGAGGGACTTCCTTCCGCCTGGAAGTTTGCAATTAAAAACTTAAAATAAGAGCAGGAACTTTAATAATATTTGTAGTAAAAACTCTGTATAGTTAAGTAGAAAAACTCAGTATAGTTAAGTAAGCAATATTAATTATTTAGTATTAACACTTTGTCTATTAAGTTAGAAGTGGTAATATTTAGTATTCACAATTTGTTTGTTAATTTTGACTATTTTTATTTTATTTTTAGTATTAGCATCATTTGTATTAATTTTATTATTTACAAACATTTTTTGGCTATTAATAGCATATATGTTAATGGTTATTAATATTTATATTTTGTATTTTGAACTTGTTGTTCTATTTTTTGAAATGTTCCATATAACCTGAGGATGATCCATTGATTGGATTGAAAGCGTTTGTTTTATTAATAAATCTCTCAGCGAGTGATCAGGTGTTGATTAAGTTATTATTTTCTGCTGAGTACGCTTTGGTTGTTTATATTCATAGAAAAAACAAAAAATGTTCGAAAATACGAAAAGGCAAGCACTTGCAAAAAGCAGCAAATTTTGCATTGCTGCTGAAAATGGGAGGATTTTCTGCACGAATTTGTATGCAAAATTCCAAGCATTAATAGTTTTAATAGTTTCTTAGAATTACTTTGAAATAAANTTTTTTAATAATAATTTATATTTGTTAAATTATCTGTAATAAATTGATTTTTTTATTATTGCTTTATTTTTTTATATAATAAATGTAAAACATAACTTTATTATTTTATTATCTATTTAAATAACATTCAAACTCCACAATTAAACATAAAAGCTCATTAATTTTTAACAAAAAATAAAATAAGAAACATTTAAAAATTCATAGAAAAATAACTTAATCAACACCTGATCACTCGCTGAGAGATTTATTAATAAAACAAACGTTTTCAATCCAATTAATGGATCATCCTCAGGTTATATGAAACATTATGGATGGAATATTATGGACAGGGACGCAGAAATAGAAAGAATCATGCAGGTAGCAGAAGCATTGGGCTACAAGAGGAATGTTATAAAGGGGATTATCAATAAATTAGAAATTGGTACATATATAGTATCTGTTCGAGGTCCATCTACATACATGAAATTTACGTACAACAAGTGCTTAGGAAGCATTATGAAATAAACTGCAAATATAAAAGATACAAGGATGGTCTTAAAAAGAGCTCTGAATTTGTACAGAATACTTAGAAACGATAAAGGGGCGGTTAAAAAAGAAGATATGTTGGGTGTATATAAGATCCCATATGAGAATCAGATATTAGGAATAAATAAGGAATATGTTGGGGTTACTACTAGAAACCTAGGTGTAAGGATGAAAGAGCACAGATATGATATTAGAAAAGGTTGTAATGCCACAGTATTGGCTCAAATGGCAAAAACGGAAGGTTCAATAGTACAATGGAATGAAGCAGAAATCCTGAAACAGATACACTCTCTGACTTTGGCAAGAACGGCTGAAAAGTTAGAAATTTATAGAAGCAAACTTAAAGGAAATTACATCAACGCAAGAGATGCAGAGGGACTTCCTTCCGCCTGGAAGTTTGCAATTAAAAACTTAAAATAAGAGCAGGAACTTTAATAATATTTGTAGTAAAAACTCTGTATAGTTAAGTAGAAAAACTCAGTATAGTTAAGTAAGCAATATTAATTATTTAGTATTAACACTTTGTCTATTAAGTTAGAAGTGGTAATATTTAGTATTCACAATTTGTTTGTTAATTTTGACTATTTTTATTTTATTTTTAGTATTAGCATCATTTGTATTAATTTTATTATTTACAAACATTTTTTGGCTATTAATAGCATATATGTTAATGGTTATTAATATTTATATTTTGTATTTTGAACTTGTTGTTCTATTTTTTGAAATGTTCCATATAACCTGAGGATGATCCATTGATTGGATTGAAAGCGTTTGTTTTATTAATAAATCTCTCAGCGAGTGATCAGGTGTTGATTAAGTTATTATTTTCTGCTGAGTACGCTTTGGTTGTTTATATTCATAGAAAAAACAAAAAATGTTCGAAAATACGAAAAGGCAAGCACTTGCAAAAAGCAGCAAATTTTGCATTGCTGCTGAAAATGGGAGGATTTTCTGCACGAATTTGTATGCAAAATTCCAAGCATTAATAGTTTTAATAGTTTCTTAGAATTACTTTGAAATAAAAGAAGTAAATAGTGCAGTGTAAGTAGCATATTTGCATTTATTTCTTCTGTACTAACAAAGTTGTATGTAGGAAAAAATAAGAAATAAATAAAAAAAAACTAAATACGATAACTTTATCTTTCTTATTTCACTTTTCAATACAATATTTGATTATACATCAATTTTCTTTTTATTATATTCTGAAGGAAATTTTGCATAATTTGGCGGCCTCTGGCAAACTTCTTACGGACCCCCAGGAGGCACGGCCCACTGTTAAGGCTGTTATACACGGTAAGGAAATCCTTTGAGGATTAACCGTGATTTTTTTTTTCTATCTATCCATTTTTAAATAAAAATAATTCTTTATACGTTGGGAGATATTTTAATAAGTTTTGTAAATTACTATGTTCGATCCAGCCAGTTATATCCGAGTTTTTTTCGTCTGTTAAGCACATCCTTTGAGGATTTCCTTACCGTGTATACCAGCCTTTAAGAAACACTGGTTCAAAAGACTGAAATATAGTCGAACCTCTGTTTTCGAACAACTCACTTTTTGAACAAATTGGTTCACAAACAATTTCAAACTCATAATTGCACCAGTTTCCAAATGATAACTTGGTTGTTGAACGAGCTACTTGGCAAGAACCAGACACAGATTAGAGAGAAACATATGGTCAACTCCCTGTACTTTATATGTTAAAGAAAGTCAATAGCCTGACCAACAACAACAACAGGAACTACCGATTCAGAAGTTAGTGGTGTCAAGATTGCCGAGATTCATTAGATGTTATAACAGGAATCATCGATGATGTTGCCATTTAAATTAGATTTCAATGCACATGTAGGAAAGTTACTAATTCCACTTTTTCATTACACATCACAGTAAATTTTAATCAAATAAAATAAAATCTATGTTAATTGACATTCACATAATATAAATGGCATCCATGAATTCATGCATAATGGTGTTTAAATCAAATTAAATAACAAAAATTTATTATTAAATATAATTTTATCATCATTTCCCATTAGTACACAATTGGTGATTGGCATTATATTTAACAGTATAAATTAAATGCAAGAACTTTTAATGATAATTTGTTTCAATTTTAGGACAACTTTTTGGGATGAATTATGTTCAAAAACAAGGTTTGACTGTATAAGCTTGAAAAGAAAGAAAAAATTTTCCTGCAAAAACTTTTGGTGGATAATCAGATCTTAAAATGATACTAGTTGTAATCTTCATCATAAGAAGGTAATTGTTAATAATGGAACAATGATATAACATTAAATATTGTATTAAAGTAGGGAAAAATGGCTACTGAAATTTTTTAACTGCTAAGTTTATGGGAACACTATCTTATCAATAACATAAGGATTTGAATGGTTTCCATGATTAAAGAAAGGTCGTGAAATCATTGAAGAGACAAGAAACCTGCCAGACCTTCAACTTTCAACAAATAAACATATGAGTAATGTCGAACAATTGCTTAAAAATGATAGACAACTATTTGTTTATTTTTTAGAACAGTGTTTTTCAATCTGTGGGTTGCGACCCCCAGGTGGGTCGCAAACCCACACACGGGGGGTCGTGGGTAAAAGAAAAAGACAAGTGTTTGTAGGTTCTACACAACAATAAAAAAACTACAGTTTCAGTGAGAAGGCTGTGCCTGTTTATTTTACAGTACAATTAGTTTTTTGATTGATATTTAAATCTCAACAGAAAGAAAATTAAATACGTAGTTTTTAAAATCGCTGACATAGTTTTAATATGGCCGTGTGGGGTTGCCAAAATTTTTTAACTTGTAAATGGGTCGCGTATTGAAGAAGGTTGAAAAACACTATTTTAGAAAATTAACAGGAATACTTAACAGTTGGTAACATTGTTACAGAGGAATTACCAAAATTTTGAACACACACCTGATGCCAAATTGTTTGTTTACTGTGTTACTTATGGAAGAATTACAAAAGATAAAGCTTTTTTATACATTTTTTCCCCTTGAATCCTTGTCTAATCAAAAAAATCAGCAGTTAGTGATTTGATGAGATCTATTATAAAATTATGATAAATTTATTAATGAAATTGTAATAAGGTGAAATATGGTGCCTACAATATGATCTGGAAACAAATGCAAAGTGTAGGATAGATGGACCAAAATTTACCAAGAAAAAAGAAGACACAAGCAGGGAAATTAAAAATCAAAGTAAAGTTGATTGCTTCTTTGATTCTAAAGGACTCATTAATCATGAATTTGTTCCAGAAAATTAAACTATTAATAAATAATCTTACAAAGTTTTTCATGCAAATTCATCATACAAGATCATAAATGTTGAGTTCTGGTGAGTGTTTACTTTCCTTTCTTTCTACTTATTCTCCAGATTTGTCATTCTCAATCTTCATTTTGTCCAAAACTTATAATGCAAGCAAAAAAGAATTTACTTTGACAGTATTGAAGATACAGTATAAAACAAAGTGTGATAGCCATTTTAAAAGGCTTAACTTCAAGTGACTTTAAACATGCATTTTTAAACTTAAAATTACACTGAAAAAATGTACGAGATACATTTGTATCTTGTATGTCCAGACTCTTAGAAGACAATTAAAATTTTTATAATTTTTGTTTTTATTATTTAAAAAGTTCAGTTTGGTTTCTTTTGGGTTACACGTTTATAGTTAAATTCCTATACTATAGAAACTTCAATATATAATATAAAAATTTAATGGCTTTTAATGGAAAATAAAAATGTGAATTTTAAAATTTATACATTAGATCTAAAAAAATAGATTACAAAAGTTATAAAAACAAGAAAACTGACAGAATTCTCTGGATAAATGAGTAAGAGTAAGCATGGAATGAAATTCTACATATTCAGAATATGCTAGAATGAAAACATGAACAAACACCACAGCCTCAAATCAGCCTAGCAACACAATTTAAAAGTTCTACAAATGTTCTTGTTCCACTTCTAAGATCTTTGTCAGGTAGAAAACATTTGTAGAACTTTTAAATTGTGTTTCTGCACTGATTTGAGGCTGTGGTATGTTTTTTCCCTTTCAAACATTGTCCAATTGATTTGAGAGAAATTTTATATACTAGAATATTAATAAAAATAAAAAGATTATTTATGTTTATATTTTTTCGTAGAAATTGGAAAAATTAGATAATATAGCCCTTAAATGTTATAGGTGAAATAACATAAAAGTTTATAATGAAATAAAATACACATTTTACAATTAGTGTATTATTTTTCTTTTGTCCTTTTCAGTTACTTTCCTTTGAATGGAATGTTAAATAAAAGGAGTAAGTAGAAAAAGCAATAAACTTTTTATATATTAGAATTGCATAAAATTAAAATTTAGATGTCTCAAATATAGTAATTAACAATATATTAAAGCCAAATGATTGCCACATTAAAAACAAACATCATCATTGAAACCCAATCTATACTAATATTATAAAGAGGTAAAGTTTGTAAGTTTGGATGTAGGGGTAATCTCCAAAACTACTCATCTGATTTCAAAAATTCTTTCACCAATATTTAGAATGGAACTTCAGGGTGGACATAGTCTGTATATTATTACGTTAAACATTCATATAAATTAAAAGATATCATCTAGGTTTAAGGCTTTTATGTCTAACAGATGGCGCTAACTCCGCGAGTACGACGACCTAAGTTTGCTTTTCTGTGAGGATGAACTAAAGCAGATCATCTTCTATCTATCTATCTATATAAATAAAAATGTAATGTTCGTTTGTTCCTACTGATTCCTTTGAAACTTTGACACAACGTTGCATTCGAATACGCATGTGTTTTTATATACTATACGTGTCGAAATTCCCCCCCACTGGGGTGGAGATGGACAGGATTAAGGCTTACCTTGAAGAACTCTGCTTCTATTTATAGTATTTTATATGCGGTTTTTTGCATTTTAATAGGGTACATCAAGATGAATGTACACTAAGAAGGGATTTTTCGAAATTTCCCCTGCGGGGGAAGTTTTATACATTTATAAGAGATACACTTTGAGCCATAACAACGTGTAGTGAGGTCTGCTAGTATGTTATAAAACTACAAGCCAACCAATACTGTATGTCATTGGTCTAGATATTGGCTATAATACTAATAAATTATGAAACAATTTCATACTAGAGAGAGACGTTAGGCTCCATCTCTTAATAAATTTAATAATTATCATTTTTAATTAAATAATTTAGAACTATTGGAAGAAAAGAAAAAACATTATAACCATCGTCAGTCATTACGGTTCCAGCTGGGAACGCATCAAGCATCCACATCCTGTAAACACACTCCTAAGACATTCAACCAGCCATCACAAACCCTGGCAAGGCATATATAATGTAATGTTATATATACTGGAAGATGAGATTGGACTGGAGGTCTGGGTAGTGTAATTGGCAATGCATTTGCACAGTAGACAGGAGTTGCAGGTTCGAGTCCCGCTCTGGGCTGATTCTTTTCTTCCAGTAGTTCTAAATTATTTAATTAAAAATTATAATTATTAAATTTATTAATAGATATGGTACCTAATGCCTGACTCTAGTACCAAATTGTTTCATAATTTATTAGTATGATATTATAGCCATTATCTAGCTCATGACATACAGCATTAGTTGTCTTTAGATAGCCACATTATATCAGATTATATTACTACTACTGTTATTAATTAAATGCTAAGTAATTTGGAATTAGAGGTAGGTGTTAGATGCCATCTTTTGCTAAATTTAATAATTATAATTAAATTAAAATTTTATTAATTAATTTAGAAGGTTCTGGAAGAAATAAATCTGCCTGAAGTGGGACTTGAACTTACAATTCCTGCTTACCGTGCAGTTGTGTTGCCATACCTTTGTCCAATTTTTTGTCCAATTGAAGAACAAGGTCCTTCCTCAGTTCCTCCCCAACATCCTGTTATGTAAGAGGTATTGATGACATCATTATTTTTGGGAAGACAGTTCAGGATTTGATGGCATTTGTCAATACTATCAAAAATAATCCCTACTAGTTGATCCTGGAAGTAGAACAATCTAACCCCTCGGAGGTGCACTTCTTGGACATAAATATTAGAGTGGAGGGATCTGGTATCCACACTTCAGTACCTCGTAAACCAGGTTCCATGTCATCATACAAATGAGTGGGGTCATGTGATCCATTTTCTTATAAGATTGCAGCATACAAGGCCTTAATCAGAAGAGCCTTTACACATTCTTCCAATCCCCAGGCTCTTGCTACCGAATTAGTATTTATAGAGGGCATAGCTGCTGCACACGGTTATCGCAATGTTACACTTGGGCTGATAGAACGTTTTCAGCGAATGCACACAGGACACGCCCCGTAGTTGACCTGCCAAGAGATAATCAATCCAACGACGTAGACTGGGTCTCTATTACCTTTAACCTGTACTTAAGGTCCTTATGCGCTGAAGTTGCCAGGAAACGCCGGGTGTGTGTTGCTTATTGGAGATGCCCAATTATTTTTGACATGCTACATAATGGGAAGGACCCTCCCAACCCAAACAGACTTCCTGCCATATATAGTATCCCCGTAAGGGACAACATACAATAGAGACCTGGTATACATGTAAGGAATCAAGTCCGAGCATTATTTTTAGTTACTTTTATTTTGCTTTTATTCTATTTTTGTTTGGGGCTTATGTTGTGTTAGGATGAAGGTTTCCTCACCATTCACCTTAGAAACTTAAAAATAGAAGAGAAACCAACTCACTGATGAGAGAAAAGTGCCGTAGAAAAAAACTCGCACACACTTGCGCTTCCGAGCGGAAAAAAGTAAGTCTGCACCGAGAAAAGGGGGGAGACCCCCACAAGCATAACTTGGACCTTGCTAAACCTTAAAGAATAAAAACATCCCAAAAATTGTCAAAAAAGAATAATGTAAAAGGTTAGCGAGTATTGTCGGAAAATAGGCTGCCAGACAAATAGAAAAAGTTTATTGTTAGCAAATAAGTATGTAAATGAGGGGAGGGATCGCACTCAGAATTGTGCCGTCACCTCACAGTATAAAGACTGAACCTCAAGTGAAGATGGACAAGGTGAGCTTCTGTTAGCAACGAGTGTGGTGAGCTTCGTAGCAGTAAATGAGAGAGAGGTGTCCGATAGGATAAAGTAGTTCCAAGGCGATTTTGAAGTTATTCGATATGTGGATTGAAGATTAGAGAAAGTCTTGAGAGTTGGGGAAAAAGGTTCCTAGTATATTGAGGTGATGATTAGGATCTTT